CAAAACCTTTTTGCACCTGCGAAGCTGATACCGCAACAGTTCCTACAGAACAAGCTGATATTGTTTAGACTTCTTAAGAGTCACAGATGCGCGGTTCCATCCATATGTCGTGACCCGAGACATCTCTGGACTGAAGAGTCGGTGCCACTGTATTCTACAACCCTCCGGTGCCAGAGGTCATCCGACCTCTCTGACCTTCGGATCCACCAAGAGGGTCTCCGAGAACAGGTGAAGTACACACACAGATAGCATTTGATGTGTTTTTGATAATAATCAACTTCATAGTTTAACACAAACCAAATTCTTTTACATCCAGAACTCAGCTCTCCTAGATACGGAAGTTCTGATAACATCACATTCACACATAGGTTCATACATCACATCTAGTTCCATCCATCACAGTAAATGTTAGTTAACTTGTCATGTTTTAATTGTTGGTAAAATAAATTCTTACTTTTATAAACCTGACTCTTTTCTGAATCAAAACGAAGTGTGTACATTCCCTTGATAAATAAAGAATCCTAGAATCTTCTGATGAACACACAAAGACCAAGCAGGGTTGATATTCTATGTTTAGATAGAGTATCACAGCGTATTGGTCATAAGTAGAGGTAATATACATATTGAGCTCTTAAAGCCCTCAATTTCCTAAACCCTACATGACAACCAATTTTTATTTTTTGTATGTACTATTGCTGTTTTAATTGTGTGTTTGTTTTTATTGGACTTCGTATCTGTATTAAATTTTCTGTTCTATTCTATTGCTGATTTATCTTTTGATGGGTCAAAATATTATGCTAATTTACATTCACTAACTCCAGCTGTCTCTGTAGTTTCTGATTACTCCACCTCCCTCAGCATGCCTCTGTTAAATACCTGCTCTTGACAACGAGTCTTTCCTGCATCATGATCAAATTTTCTCTAAAAACCTGGATTTTTCGTTTCTGACTGAAGTTTGGCAGCAAACATCTGATTATTCTGGTCTGATTGAATTCTGCCCAATTGGTTATTCATCCCTTAGCCAGCCTCTGGGTTCTGGTAGAGGCAGTGGCGGTTCTACATGGAATTACTCCCCGGGCGAGACATCCCTTGAGCGCATTGTTGTTGTTCAGGAGGCAGGTTGTAGGCTGCAGTGCACATTTAACGAATCCTCGCGCTTGAATCATTAAAAAAGGATTCAAGGAATTTATTCGAACCATTCGTTTCAAACTTTCAGCGCTATTTGCTCTGTTAGCAATTAGTTGACCGAATTTAACTGTTGAAATCCCCAGTTAACTGGTTAAAAAAAGATTTAAAACATGCATCCTAGCATGAGAACATACTGCCTTTATCTTTAGCCCATTTCTCCTCTTCTTCTTTTCCTGAATTGGGCACCTGACGGTTTTGGCCTTTTTCTGTCCATCTCGTTTGGCACTTGACTCAATAAACAGGTTTCCAATCATCAATGACAACAACCAGGAGTCATGACTAAACCATTTGACCTTTGTGGGTGACCACAAAATTGTTTTGTTTTTCCTCTTTTTTTCTGGCCATTTCACACAATCCAGAAAAACGTGAAGGATTCATAAGCCTGTATTTATAACATTATGAATTAAATGTGCATTATATGGAAGATCAACAAGGTGTGACTGACTTCAGCCGTCTCATACAGTTGATTCAGACCCCCCCCACCCCCCGTCTGTTTCAATTGGGAGAGACCCAGAGGTGAATTCCCCCGCGTCCCTCCTTATTCTCCTCTTCACACACACGGGGCTCGCCTGAACCATCTCAGTGAGCAGGAGCACCTGTAGCTCTGACAGATAGAAAACCATGTTGCGGCATAGGTTTCTTTCTTTCTTTTTTTTCACTCAGCGATTGTGTGTCCCCTTTGTGTCATGGAAAAATGCCACCCCAGGCAGCCACCCATGCCTTAAACCGCTAGTGGGTAGAGGTGGTGGCCCAGCTGTTGTTTTTAGAGACTATCTTCAGCTCTACAACCTCTGGTTGCTTTGGTTCTTTTGAACTGCAGCTGATTAAAGTTGGGTGTAAGGACCATTTTTACTGTGCTCTGGTTTATTGTCCACCTGGTCCAGTTTAGTGACTCTCTATCCTCCACTCTGAAGCTGCCCAGACTGGAGATTGTTGGTGATTTTAACATTCACATTGATGATGCCTCAGACAACTTTGCCATGAGCTTCTCCAGCCTCATGGACTCCTTCAGCTTTACTTTACCCAGCATGTTTATGGGCCCTCACACACATCAGGGGGCACACTTTGGACCTTGTTTTCACCCTGGGTTTAAATGCTGACAGTTTGTCCTGAGAACATCTATATTTCAGATAATCATTGCATTTTCTTTAAGTTGTAAGTTCCTGTGTCCCCACCCCCTGCTCGCCGTCTGGTTAGTTCTCGTTTTCTTAATGAGAGCACAGCTAGCAATTTTTCTGCTGCTTTTGATCCACCCTGTTCTTCTGATAACGACCCAGATTCCTTAACTTCTCAGTTTAACACTGCCTCTCCATTCTGGATATCTGTCCTGTCAGAACCAGATCAGTTCCTGCAGTGAATCCTACTCCCTGGTTTAATGACAGCATTTGCAGCCTGAAGCACCAATGCAGAAAAATTAAGTGCTTGTGGAAGAAAACCCATCTCCACGTCCATCTGCTGCACCTAAAGGATCTTCTGACAACCTTTAACTCTGCAGTCAGAGACGCTAGGGTTGCCTTTTTCTCCAACCTGGTGTCCCAGAGCAAAGGGAACCCCAAGGTGCTGTTTAACACCATCAGCAGCATCATCTCTCCTGCCTCTCCTACAGCCTCCATCCACTCTGTTACAGACTGTGAGAACTTTCTGTCTTTCTTTGTGGACAAAGTCAATAAGGTTAGATCTAACATCTCTCCTTCAGCCTTATTGCTGCCTCTCCCGACTCCAACCAGGCCCATCATCCTAGATAGCTTTGCTCCTGTTTCTTTGCCTGAGTTAACCAAACTAGTTAACTCTATGAAGACCTCTGCATGCCCCCTCGACATCTGACCCTCATCTTTGTTTAAAAGTGCTTTTCAGTCCATCGGTCCCAGTGTGCTCTCTATAATTAATGCATGTCTGGTCTCTGGTCAGGTCCCTGCTTACTTTAAGAACGCTGTAATCCACCCGCTTCTTAAAAAAACGAGTCTCGACCCCTCTCTCCATCGCAGCTTCAGACCCATCTCTAAACTTCCGTTCATCTCCAAGATCTTGGAAAATGTTGTGGCTAAACAACTCACAGCTGCTCTTGATGAACATAACATCTATGATAGCTTCCAGTCAGGTTTTCGTGGAGCTCATTCTACTGAAACAGCTCTTCTTAGGGTCTCTAATGACCTTCTGACTCACAGTGATGCAGGGGACTGTTCTGTTCTGGTCCTGCTGGAAGCTTACAGGTTCAAGCTCTGCTCAGTTTGTCGCTGTTGTTGTGTCCTTGGGCAAACACTACCTTGTTTGCTGGTAGTGACTCACCTCTGTCAGTGCGCCCCAGGGCAGCTGTGGCTGCAATGTAGCTCATCACCACCAGGATGTGAATGTATGTGTAAATGACTGATTGTGTTGCAAAGCACCTTGGGGGTACCAGGACTCTAGAAGGCGCTATTTCAAATACAGGTCATTTACTATTTATACATTGGCGGCATAGAGACGAGTCCGCAAACAGCAGCACGTTCATAGTAATGCCAGGGCCGAATGGTCGTCCCAGTCCACCTGTGCGCAGCAGGCCCCTGAGGTCCAGTGACCAAAGCCTACTGGTTGTGCAGAACCAGGCTAAAGACCAAAGGTGACAGATCATCTGCTGCTGTGGCCCCCCAGACTCTGGACCTCTCTCCCCCTGAGCCTGAGATCAGTGGACTGATTTCTTATTCTACCTTTGCATGATCCACTGATTTTCCTCTTTGCTGTTCATTTTTTATTACAATTTAAAATGTTTTCCTAATTTTAACCATTTTAATCAGTTTTTTCAAAATATTTTTTAAGTAAAATTTCTCGTTCTTGTGAAGTGCCTTGTGATTTTTATCTCGATAGGCGCTTTATAAAATATTGTTTTCTTTCTTTCTTATAATGTTTATCTTAGCCATCAGAACCAGGACTCTGTGCAAAATGAATTCAAATAAAGGGCAGTTATTTTTTTATTGTAGTGTAGCAATTATTGTTTGGTTCTTTTAATCTTCTGGGCTGAAAGTTTATCTGGTGTTGAAGTAAAAAATCCAGTAATGTTTATTTTAAGTATCATGTTCAACTAACATAACAAAGCAATAACATATATATTGGTTTGCAGCTGACATGTCTGTTTTCTGTTTATTCTAAATGATCAGCTCTGAGCTGGACAGAGAAACCGAGGTTATCAGGTCAGACGTGTGACGTTTACATCCGTAATAAAACTAGAAATAACCAAGCACGATAAAAATCAAGCTGAAACATTCCCTAAATCCTGGAGAGCCAGCCTTCTCGGTCCAGGACTCGAACCTCCATAGAGGATCTGGCTGCTTCCTGTAGCAGCGCGTTCATAGGCCGCCCCGCGCGTCGCTCAGGAGTCTAGCCGGATCCGGGTGGGGGCGCGTGGGGGAGGAGTGGCGCCGATAGGCGGGACGACTGTCAATTGTGTTTTTGTCCTCTTCAAAAGTCCGTGTGTGATTGCTGTGGCTGAAGACACTCGCCAGTGTCTCCTGTGTTTGAGATTCGCTCCGCGGAGACGCATGAGCGGCTCTGTGACGTGGCTGCGCGGCGCGCTGGGTCCGTTCCGCTCTGACACCAGCATGTTCCGGTGGTTCAGTGAGGCTGTAGTCGTTCCGTAGACAGCGGAGGATTCTCAAACCTTTACTTTCCTCCTTCACGGAGGATTTAGACACACCTGGATGTCTGGACCAGCTCGGACTATGGAGTCTAATCCGGACTGGATACGCTGAGGACTTGTTGCGCGTCTCCAGGAAGCGGACCGTTCCCGTTCTCATCCAGGTCTGAACCTGCCTGTGATGCTTGGGTTCAAGCGGCTTTAGATGATAGATTGTGGAGAGCTCAGACTAACAACGAGCCACGAGACTCTGCCCCTGATTGAGGAAACTGAGTTTCTTCCTAACCCGTTCTTTGGCACCCACGCTCAACAAAAGCAAACTTTATCCAGGTCAGACCCCCCAAGTTGTTTGATCCGTCTTCATCTCGCGTGTTTCGAACCGAGGCATTCATCCGTCCATCCACCCATCTCCCGCACCGACATGTCTGAGCGTGATGGATGTGGAGACGGGCTGAGCAGCGACGGAGCGCCGGACTGCATCCCTCCTAGAGCGCCTCGTGGCCGGCGCAGTGGAGTCATCCTTCCCGGACAAGAGACCGACTCCATCCTGCTGGAGAACGTGAAGGCAGCACCGCGCAGGAGCAGCATCATCAAGGTAAAGGACCCCGTCATGTTGTCAGGTTACGCACTTGTTTTTATCTGCTCAAAGCTTCTGAAGGAATGTTTATGTGAACCGCAGGAACACAGCAGGAACGCTCACATTTAACAGGAGGGATTATCCTCCACAGATCGGTGCTCTGGATCCTGGGTCAAGCCTTTTGTTCTGCATCCATCATGGTCTGATTTGTTTTGGTGCACATCTTTGCGGCAGCACGCAGACGGGTTTACTCCTGACAGAGTTCTATTTAAGGTCTTTGGGGAACAGACTGATTGAATACTAATTATCTTCTGTGATCAGATCACATAAGCTCTGGTTTCCCCCGGAGGGAACCCCTGCCCTTCTGACACCGGCAGCTGAAATCATGCTTGTCCCAGATTCACCTGTGCTCAAGTTGCAGATCAGCAGTTTGTGCCTAAGAGCGGATCGCGTTTGAGGTTTTGTTACGTTTCATGTCTAGCATGTCCTCCCAGAAGCCTCTCCACCTCAGGTGATGTGTCTCGTGTGTCTCAGTCAGACCTGCTGGAATGTAAACAAGTGGCCTAGGAGCTTTAGATGGAACTTTCTGAAGTAGGAGCTTAAAAACAAAAAATACACAACATATTTCGACTATATAGTGTCTTTTGATGAATTTGCTTCCATCCCAGTGAAATCAAACTTCACTGGGAAGGTTTTTGTAATATTGAACATCACTGACCCAAGAACAGGTTTATGACCCTCTGAGTCTGTTTCCCAGCTGATGCTGTCAGGTCAACCCCCATATTTCACATTAACTCAAAGGGCAAGGAGGTGTTTGCAGCCGTGCTCTTGTTGTTTCTCAGGTCCAGAGCTGGTTCCATCAGGAGCAGTCTGAACTCTAGACAGCTGGAAGTCTGTGCACAAAACTGCTAATTGTCCAAATTCCTCCACGTGTGCTAACTCCTGTTTATTGTAATGAGAGCAGTACAAGACAGCACACCTGCCACTGATCTGAACCAACAACAGCATAGGGACAGCAGCAGCTCAGGAGGAAGAGCAGGTTGTTCAGCAATCGGAAGGTTTCAGGTTCGATCCCGGCTCCAACCAGAGAATGCTGCTGTTGTGTCCTTGGGCAAGACCAAGACCTCTGGTGGTCAGAGGGACCGGTGGTGCCTGTGTTCATCTGGTCTCATCTCTGTCAGGGCGCCCTAGAGCAGCCGTAGCTGCATCGCAGCTCATCCCCACTCGCGTGTGAATGGGTGAATGACTGTGTTGTGAAGCGCCTTGGGGGGTTGTGGAACTCTAAGAAGGCGCTACACAAATACAGGCCATTTACCATAAATGTTTTGTCATCAACTAGTTTAGTAGTTGAGACCAAGGTGTCTCTCACAGGTCCTGTTAGCTAACCCTAACCCAATCAGAGAAGCGAACAAAGCCACCAAAAAGACTCAGAGTGGACCACGAGACACAAACTGCAGAAGAGACACAGATGAAGAAACAACTTGTGTATTTGTGACCAGATGGCAGAGAACTGAGGTGGGAGTTGAGGGGTCAGTTGCTAATTGCTATTGGCAGTCATGTGATTGGTTGTGGTCTCAGATACCGTGTGTGTGTGTGTGTGTGTGTGTGTGTGTGTGTGTGTGTGTGTTGGGGGAGGGCTAATGCTTTTTGATGCGGGGTATTAGAAGCTGTTTTTTATCCGATGATTAACCTATTTTGATAGTTGCTGTTTGGAGCCTCTGAGCGTAAACGATTGAATTTGTTCCTGCCTGCTGCTTACGAGTTCATCAAACATCAGGTTAGTTTCTAAAAGAGTCTAAGTGTTGATGAATGCCCTTAAACAAATGCAGCTGAACCCAAAAGTCACGTCAGAGCCCCGCATGGCACCACGTTCTAAATGCTGCTCCCACTGACTGGAAATTTGGGGGGAAACATACAAAACATGTCTGGATTCAATTTTTCAATTGCAAAAAAGAGCTATTAGAATAATAAATAAAGCTGGATATAGGGAGTCCACAAACCAATTTTTTGTAGTATCAGCTATGTTAAAATTTAAGGACATTATTTATCTTAAAACTTTAGAAATGATGTATAGAGTGGTGAAAAAGAATGTTCCAATTTGTATTTTAAGTATGTTTAAATTAAGAGATGGAAAATATGATTTGAGGGGGTCTTATATGTTTGAAATACCTAAAGTGAGAACTAATGCTAAGTATAGATGTGTGTCGGTTTTGGGAGTGAAGTTATGGAATGGACTTAATGATGAACTGAATACGTGTTGTTCTTTGTCATTTTTCAAGAAAAATGTAAAAATTTGCATATTCCAAAGTTATAGAAACTTAGTTTGATGTCTAACCTTGTGTTGATTTGGTTTCTTGATTTATCACTGCTTTTTCTTTAAATGTTATGCATCTTAGCTATCAGCACTATTTTTTTTCTCTCTTGGTTAAGGATTTGAGTATCTCTGTGGGAGTTAAGGATAGGCTAATTATAAGCAACTAGGCTTCAACCTATTCCTTTTTTCAGTTGCTTGATTACTTTTATGTAAAACTGATCAATTGTTGTTGACCGAACAAAATATCATATCATATCATCATCATCATATTCGGTCTGACTGACCGTGGCACATCTTCGTTGTTTCCATTTATCTTCTATTTAGTTTTATGTTGTCCATCCTTCTTTGGGCCAGAAAAAGCCAGTCTCTTCATCACAGTTAGTACGTATGCACGGCCTCCGCTACCTTGGCCCGTGAACATCCATGCTGTTGGGATTACACGGCCAGGAGGAACCAGTGAGTAGAATTAGAAGCTAACCGTTAGTAACCATTAGCATTGTTTCTGTTGGCCAGTCAGAGGAGAGACATTTTCATGTCATGAATACATATTTCAGTCGTTTTCAGCTCACTAACCTCTCCAACAAACCTCCACCCCCTGAAACAGGATCATGCAAACCCACAAGTAGCAACTTCACTGGAGTCATTTAACATTTTACTTCTACACCTTACATTTCAAGAGAAACCTTGTTATGAGTTTTATTTTTATTTGCAAACAAGCAAACAAAAAAAAAACATAAATGGCACCGTCCAGATGGAGTGAATATGATTGTGACTAGATCATTTACCCTTCTGCCACGTGATCCGTCACACACTACGCACCCTAGTGCAGCTATCCTGGATAAAGTGAGTGTTTTCATTATCTTCAAATGTAGAGGCCATATATTTTGTAATTGTAGCATATTTTAGGATTAGAGGTGACATGAGTTGCTGTTGTAAAGGCTTTGATGGGACGCTTGATGAGATACAAGTAGAAATGCACACTTGTTGCTGCATACCTGATGGAGAGACTGACGTTCATGTAGCTGATGGCTTAGACTGGCATCTCTTTGTAGCTCTACTTTGATGGTAGAGTCGCTCAACTACAGTTTCTAAATGAAGTTTCAGCTCTTAAGTGTGTTTTTATGTATAACAGAAAAGACTGATGCACTTATGAGCAGGAAGTGGTTGCATTTGGTTTAGATCTGTCAAGTTTATCTGTGGAGACTTTAGGTTCTCTTCTGTAATCAGACTCATAGACATATTTTAGAGCATGGCACAGGTTTGGATATGAGTGGGAACCTTCTGGGACTTGGATAGGATTGTGAGATTGGGCTTAACCACTCCTTTCTCAGTACTGCCTTTGAAGCAGTAGGAAGGGCGACGGTGGCGCAGGAGTTAAGTGCTCGCCCCGTAATCGGAAGGTTGCAGGTTCGAGCCCCGCTCAGGCTGTCGCTGTCGTTGTGTCCTTGGGCAAGACACTTAACCCACGTTGCCTGGTGGTGGTCGGAGGGACCGGTGGCGCCAGTGCTCGGCAGCCTCGCCCCTGTCAGTGTGCCCCAGGGCAGCGGTGGCTACATCGTAGCTCATCCCTACCAGTGTGTGAATGTGTGTGTGAATGGGTGAATGACTGATTGTGTTGTAAAGCACCTTGGGGTGTTCCAGGACTCTAGAAGGCGCTATATCAAATACATGCCATTTACCATTTTACCAAGCAGATGCGTTTTTTCACACCTTTGTCCTCACGATTCAGCAGGGACAGATTTGTGTCCATGAAGTCTCTAAAATGATCCAGCAGTCTGTCACCTTTTGACCCCTGATGCCAGGAATAATTTCCTGCTCATCTAGTTTTATAATAAGAAAATAATTGTGTGTTAAGGCCCCGCTGCTGCTGTGGGACACACAAAGACGAGGGCATTTTCTTCAATCAGAGCATCTTACTAACGAGGAGGAGAAAGTATGTTAAGCTCTGTATATTTTAGAAATTAGGTGATTCTTTGAGAGTTTCCAGATTCCCAAAAATACTTGGATACTAAAGACTCTCCACTGGTATTCAGGGTTGGTTTCCCTCACTCAGATCTTGTGATCTGGGCCTCAGTGATAGAAGCTTGAATGGGCGCCAGATGCCACATTACGTTTAAGAGGGAGTTACAGGAACGTTAATCTCAATCAAGTTAAACATATTAGGATAAGGTTGTTATTTTAATTTCCCCCAGCGACCCTCCTCTGCCATTATAGCTCACAGCTTACTGTGTAACAGGCCATAAGGCAGACATGAGGCCAAGGGGAGCAGTGTGGGATTACCGGTGAATGAAACACACACACACACACACACACACACACACACACACACACACACACACACACACACACACACACACACACACACACACACACACACACACACACACACACACACACACACACACACACACACACTGGTTTGAGAATGAGGATCAGAGGACGTCCTGAGCTAGAGCGGACATCTCTGACAGGCTGATTTGTCGACCGAGCCCAGAGGGTCGTCTCTTTCCGATGCTGTTTTGTTGTAGCTCAGAACCTTGATGGCGCACAACTTAGTTGTCAGTTGTTGGAGTCACTGTAGGGATTCCAGACTTCCCCAAATGTATGGTCTAAAACAGAAAGAAAGAAAAATAAAGCCACAAAAAGCCAATCATGATGTTCTTTTAAAAATATTAATCTGTTTAATTTAAGATCTTTCAGTTTT